ACTCCCTTTATTGTGCTGGCTTCCCTGGGGACCCCTGCTGCCCTGGCTTTTTGACAGATGTTCCAGGTCGAACCTAGAAGTACCACTTGACATTTCTTCAAGATGACACTCCCTTCCTCCACACTCCACCCACCACCACCCCCGCGCAGCCTCGCCTTCAGGCTTCCAAGGCCAACATCCACTCTTTCCTGGAAAGAAATGATTTATAACATGATCAGCCTGGCAGGTGCCACAAGGAAACCTGTCAAGGCTCCTGTGGTTTGGGACTTCAGTGTGTGAGAAGTCCTTAACCCTGTAGACTTCAGGGTCCCTTTCGTGCACACACGTCAGTGTGTGCAATCTCACTAAGACAAAGACAAAGCTGTAGGTGTGGAGCCTGTGGCACATCCTGGGGCACATAGAGAGTGGGGGCGCTGATACTGATTTCACTGTAAAAAGCCCCTAAAAACGTTTGATTTAGTGAGCTATTTTGGAGATTCTCCATCCCAAAACAGAATTTTAAAGTAGAACCATGTACTCATTTGTCAATAGACAGGAGAATAAAATTCTCTCTCTCTCTTTCTCTCTCTCGCTTCCCCCTCCAGCCTCCTTCTTTCTAACCCTGGTTTCTCTGAAATTCACTAAAACCTCCAAAAAGGTGTCTGCTTGGAGTTAGAGGGTGCTGCCTTCAGTGTCATAGATTTCCTATGCTGAGCACATTCCACAGTAGAAAAGCAGCTCCAAGTTTGGATTTGGGATGCTAGGTGCTAGCACGGGACTGGCTCTCTCTCTCTCAGATCCTTGTTTTGTGTGTTCTGTTAGGGGCTAGTAAGGCCTCCAGCTGATATCATTTGTGATCCAATAAAGGGGGTGTTTGAGCACCCCATCCCAGCTGCCTGTCACCACAGGGAACCGTGCTTTTTCCAGGCCCAAATTTACGTCCATCCTCCATAAACTTTATACTGTGCCATGCTGCTGTTAAAAGTGATTTACTCACGAGGCGTTGGATCACAGGATGCAGACCTTCAGGAGATCCGTGCTAACTCCATGGGCGTCACATAAAGAAACCACCTGAGGGTCAGGGCAGTTCTCCAGAGGGTCTTGAATCTCAGAGGTCAGGGGATAGCTTCTCCCCAGCTGAGGTCTCGGAGGCATTCTCTGGCTGGCTTTATAGCCTGACAGCCATGAAATTAGAGGAGGCCACAGAAGTATCTCACTTGGTTTGACCTGGAATGATACCTACTACGTGCAATGTCTTTCCTTTTTCATCTATACATACCCCAAAAAAGTCCATATATACTGGGGTGGTTATCTGAAGGGGAAAATGGAGGGAAATGTGTGTATATAGTCATTTAATATACATATTTAATATAAATATACATTTAATATAATTTAAATATGAAAAATAAGGCACTTTAAAAATATTTGTGCATTATATGTGACCAAGGCTATTTCTGCTCATCAGTGAACAATAGAGAGAAGAGTTGAGCCCAGACCTTGAAAGCTCCTCCAGTGGGCAGACGGTGTGGACCGGGGTGGAGCTACCTGACGGAGCAGGGGCTGGGCTTTGGCAGGGAAAGTGGTCCCTTTTGTCACTTATGCATTCTATTTTGGGCTTCATGTCAAGCCTCTTTATACAAATAACTAATTCCTAGAAGCGAGAGAAGAACATGTCCTGATGTTTTATTTTCATAGCATCTTTGTCTATTCAGTGCGGTGACTGGTTTGCCATACTTTGCCCTCCACACTGGACCATGGTAAATTACTTTGGGGCTCAGACATCCCATACTTAAGAGACATAGAACCAAAGAGAACATATGATCTAGCTTCCTCATTCTGACAAGCTCAAACTAAAGGAATAATGAGTCCTATCTCTCTGCTATGTAAGCTTAAGAATGAGACTGTCCTAGCGCTCTTAATTTGCACAGTGTATCAGTCAGGGTAACTAACACTAGCTACAGTAACAAAAATTCCAGTAGTATCAGAGGCTTAACAATTCAGTCAGACTCCAGTGCAGTGTGGTTTGGCAGCTCTCCAGAGCATCTCTCCTCTAAGCTATCACTTGGGCTTTTTTCACCTTAGGGCACCACCATCCCCGAGAGCTCCTTTGGAGCCTTCTGCTGGATCCCCTACCTTCATCTGGCCATCAGTGAACTGATGGTCTAATGGGATGTTTCAGGGGCCAGATCTGGAAATGACATTTATTACTTCTGCTCAAATTCAATTGACCAGAACTTGTTGCATGCCCCACCTAGAAGCAAGTCTGGGGAATATTTTCTCTTCATGTGCTTGAAAGCGGAAATGGAATTGGTGGCAAGTAGTCAGTCCTAGACACACCTAGGAATGGAGGTGAACTTGAACTAAGAGCTCAAGGCCTGACAGCATCCCTTTCCTGCCTTGAAGCAGCATTTAATAATCCCATCAGTTGTGATATACATTTATGTCATCTACATAGTGTGATTTGTGGACCATTAGAAAGCTGTTCTTCTCCAAAATACCTTCACTAGCCTGCTTATTCTGGAACTTTACCATTAGAAATTCATCCCACTGGGTTCAGCATTGCCTTGATCTTTTCTTTCTCTTTTACGGTATGTGCTGGTTATAAATTTGTAGCCTCTTGACTTTAAATTCACCATTCATTGCATGATCTTCAAAAATGGAGCTGTGCCCTTCAAACATTTTTCTCTTGCAGTTGGCACAATGTTAAGCTGTGTGTATATATGTTTAGTCATTTAAATATATACTGTGGTTTGGGGCTTCAGTAGAGGGGTCTGGGGAGACACTGCAGGAGGAAGGGGTTTCTGTCCTGGCTCCCTTATGCTTGCTTGGCAGACACCTGAAGCTTAGAAGACTCCTGTGGCACAAGCAACTTCTCCTATGCCTGGCTCCTATAATGCATGGTGACCAGAGGCACCCAGTGGCCAGCAGCTTCCTGGGCACTTCCCTCACCTTGGGTGGTTTTGTAGCAGAATGCATCTGGTACAACGTCTTCCTGTGATCAGCTTTTCCTGACACCCTAGAGGATGGATTTCCAGGAAGTTTCACCTCTCTGTCCTCTCTGTCATCCCCTGTGCCACAACTGAGCCTTCTTCAACAAAGTCTGGATCTCAGCCCTAGGGGGCCTCTTCCTTGGCCTCTATCTCAGCTCTAAAGGTAGTGGCTGCTCCTTATAGCTGCCATTCTGATATTCTTTAGAGTTCTTTTTACATCTTACCAATCAGTTCTTTGTTACTTTAGTCTCCTGTTATAATGAGTAATTCTTTAAGTTACACTTTCCCTGTTCAAACTACCGTATAGTTTCTCTCTCTTGATTGCATACAGACTGATATGGAACACAAATGTCCTTGGGGTAGAACTCACACAGAGTCGATGACACTTTACTGTAAAATAGTTTGTTTTGTTTTCCTGGCACCTAGAGAGCAATAGTTGTCCTGGAGCTGAGTGAGGAGAAACACCCAGCCAGGGATGATGGGAAAATCCTAGTAAAAAAAACTTTGCCTATTTCACAATTTTGTCATGAGCTTGACTATAGCTGTTAAGTGTTATTCTTTATTTCAGTGCAAAATGTCTTTCGTTCCCTAGGGTTAGCCTAACAGCGCTAGAAATAGAATGAAGGCACTAGTTTTTCTGGTGAAGCAGCAACTATTGTACTTTGATAAGCTTAGTACGTTCCTTACTTTGTTGCTTTGTTTTTTAATCACAGATAAAAATGTGTTGCCATATAAAACATAAAGAGGACAGCTCTGGACGTTTCATTTCATGGAACAGAGCTGGGCTACTCCTGGGTGTACATGATCACCTTCAGGCTGCAAGGAAAATGTGAATTAAAAACATGAGGGTCATCAGACAGTGAAACAGCTCAGTTCAGGAGAGCATTGTGTTGCCTTTCTCTGGGGGTTGTTAAAAATAGGATCTCAGATCATCTCTTTAGAATGGTGGAAATGTGGTCTTAATTAAAAGCTGGAGTAGGAAGAAGACAACAAAGGTCCCTTCCAACTTAAAAATCTTTTATATCAAAGTGATATATCTACATGATTAAAAAAAACCAATGGTACAGGAGGACTTATTTGGAAAATCAACTGTCCTCTCTCTTATATTCCTCTCTCACAGTCTACTGATTCCTGTTCCTCAATTCTCTTCATGTTATAGGGCTATACCCTTTTAAAATGCGTTTACTATCATTTTAATGGGTCCCTGGGAGGGAGTGGCAGAAACCCAAGTGCCCAGTCCACCATCTTGAAAAATAAGCTTTCCTATTAAAACTGATTTTTTTTCTTAGGCAAGAACATAAGAAACAGAACCCAGTATTCTGAAAATACCCTGCTTACTAAGTCAAATGCACTATCTGTGCCATTTAAACCTGTAAAGGAAACATTCTTCTTCTAGCTAGTCCAGTGCTTTTTTCTGAGACAGAGTCTCACTCTGTCACCCAGGCTGGAGTGCAGTGGCACAATCTCGGCTCACTGCAGCCTCCGCCTCCTGGGTTCAAGTGATTCTGCCGCCTCAGCCTCCCAAGTAGCTGGGATTACAGGCGCCCACTACCATGCCTAGCTAATGTTTGTATCTTTAGTAGAGATGGGATTTTACCATGTTGGCCAGGCTGGTCTAAAACTCCTGACTTCAGGTGATCCACCTACCTTGGCCTCCCAAAGTGCTGGGATTATAGGCATGAGCCACTGTGCTCGGCCAGTCCACTCCTTTTGACCTTTTGGATAAGTTTCTCTGTCCTACTGGCCACTTGGTGTTCTTCTCCTCACCCATCTGGTACTCTTTGGACAAACATTACCTTGAACATCTACATTTTTTTTTTTTCTTTTTTTGAGACAGAGTCTCGCTCTGTGACTCAGGCTGGAGTGCAGTGCCATCATCTCGGCTCACTGCAACCTCTGCCTCCCAGGTCCCAGTGATTCTCCAGCCTCAGCTCCCGAGTAGCTGGGATTACAGGCATGCACCACCACGCCCAGCTGAGTTTTGTATTTTTAGTAAAGACGAGGTTTTGCCATGTTGTCCAGGCTGGTCTCGAACTCCCGGACTTAAGTGATCCACCTGCTTCAGCCTCTCAAAGTGTTGAGACTACAGGCATGAACACTTGCACCCTGTTGAACATCTACATTTTAATTAAAACATTCAATAGAAGTCAACCATTTTAATAAGCAGCTTGTATTATTATTACCAAAATTAAAATAGCAATATTGCAGATGGTGTAATAGCTACAACCCCAAAGTGCTATGTCCTACAAAAAGAGTCACAGCAACAAAGCAGCTAGGACCCAAGAGGCGTAAGTGTGGAGTCGTCACACTGTGTCCTCCCACTCTCTTGAGTGAGGGCGGTTATCACGTCTCACAATCACTGACTTTTCTACTAGGACGGCTTGTTGTAATCCTCCTACCTCTGCCCTTTGTGACAAAAAAAAAAAATGGAGGGCTGCGTGGTACATAAAAGAGAGAAATGAGGCTAAATTGTTCTTCAATCTACTGCTGGTTAATCCATCTACACTTCATCCCAATTTCTACTTTTCTCCCCAACTGCTGCAACACCACAGAAGGCCCTACCCAGCAGCCCTGAATGAGCCAAAGCTGTGCTTTAATTAGCCGGCAGCACTTCACTTAAGCTCGTGTAATCTCACGGCCATTAGTCTATCATGTTTGTTATTAAGAATTGTTTTCAAGAGGGCCACGTAGAAAACACTCATAGAATGCACGTTTTTCTGGGCTGAAGCGCTGGTGTTAGTGACAGGGAAAGCGCGGGGACATCTACTTCTCCAAAAAATACCATCAAAGCTCCTTAGCACATAATACATTTTAGCAATCAGAGCCAGAATCCAAAAGCATAATAAAAAAAAGGCAAGTGAAAATGCTTATAATCGTCATATTTTAAATGCCTTATTTCCTGCCAATCTTAGATCCGTTCCCAGAGAAGCGTAAGTTACCCGCTCTGCCAGCGCCTTTGTCAACTGCCAGCTGTTACTTCCCTGGAAAAAGGGTCAGAAGGCTGCTGGTAGCTAATCGCCAGTCAGAAGCTGCAAGTCAGAGCCGTCCCTCGTGGGTTTTAGCTACTGGCTGATTGTCAGCTGAGAGCTACAAGTTCTGGTTTGATAAAAGCCAGCTATAGATTTCAAACCTTCTTCTTTTTTTTTCTTTTTCCATTTGTGCTCTGAAATTGTTGTGCGCTCCAAATGGAACTCCATGAGCACGTGGGCCTTTGTTCTGCCTTGTTAGACGCCAACAGTTGGAGTCCTCACTAAACAGTTCCTTTGCAGGGCGGGGGAGCAGGGCAGAGTGAAGCGAGGTGAGGTAGGAGGAGAGGGGTTGGGGTGGGATGAGCCGCACAATGCCCGGTAGCACACGTGCAACCCCGAATGTGGCTGAACGCAGCTGAGAGTGTTTCATGCTCAATCTGAGAGACGCTCAGTCTCTCTAGTTGTTTCCGTGGCAGGCGGCGAGTGGGGGTGGATGTGCTTGTAAGTTCCAGTCAGGTTTCATTGACTGAAGCCCCCTGAAATGAAATGAGTCATCAGTTCCATGAGTCAGGCATGAAACCAAAATCTTAAACTGGCTCTTGGATCCCAACTGTTCCTAGAGACTAGCAGTCAAGAATTGGTTTTTCTGAGTGAGACATGGTGTGGAACTTAGAGAGCTCTCTAGATTTCAGGGGGTCAGGTAAGAGGAACGGGAGGCCGGAGCAGGACCTCTGTAGCATGGTGTGCTTTCGACTCAGATGCTTAGGGGCTGTCATCTGCAATGCATCAACAGTGAAAAATAAACACCCAGCAGAATTGGGCTTTGAGTTAAGGCGAAGGCACAATAAATTTCAACTGGTTAAATTAATCGCTTGCTGCTTGTTGTGAATATTAATCCCAGGGAGGGAACTGGCTTCCACTCCATCAAAAGACAGGTGAAAACTGAAAACAGCAAAACATTTGGGATCTTCAGAGGGAGGGCTTACCTGTGAGCCAAGTGTTGATGCTGAATCCCAAAGAGAAGCAGAATCTTAAAAACAACTTCTCCTGCTTTATAGGCACAGCTGCGCTGCAGTCACCAGCTCTCCCTGCCCTCAGCCCTCACCTGTCCCCCTCTAGGTCTCTCCAGGGACATGTACATGGAAGGGTGTTGCCTGAGGGTACAGAAGATGAAAGAGCCAAGGCTCCTAATTTGTGGGATTTTTTTCATTGTGATAAAATGCACATAACATAAAATTTACCATTTTAACCATTTCTAAATGTACAATTCAGTGGCATTAAGTATTCACATTGTTGTGCAACCTTCACTACTATCCATCTCCAGAGCATTTTCATCCAGAACAGTACTGCGTATGCATTAAACAAATAACTCCCCATTTCGCTCTCTCCCAGCCCCTGGTAGCCTCTATTCTACTTTCTGTCTCTATGAGTTTGACTACTCTAGGTATTTCATATAACTGGAATCATGCAATATCAGCCCTTTTGTGTCTGGCTTATTTACTTAGCATAATGTCTGCAAGGTTCATCCTTGTTGCAGCATGTGTCAAGACTAACTTCCTTTTTAAGGCTGAGTGATGGTCCACTGTATGTATAGATCACATTCTGTTTATCCACCCATCCTCTGATGGATATTTGGGTATTGCAAACAATGCTGCTATAAATACACTGCAAAAATATCTGTCCAAGTCCCTGCTTTTAATTCTTTTGGGGACATACCCAGAGGTTGAATTGCTGAATCATGCTGTAATCCTATGTTTAACTTTCTGAGAAACTACCAAACTGTTTCCTAATTTTTTAATATTCCTGAAATGTATGATGTAACAAAGAAAAATATCACTACAAAAACATAAAATGATGGCTTATTTTGGCATTTAGGGAATAGTATTGATCTCAGTGGTAGATGGCTGCTTATGGAATTACCTTGATGGAACATGATCAGTTGAGATCACCAGCAATGGTCAGGAAGGAGAGAATTGCTACCAAGCAAAGGAATTCGGTGGTACTGTCTGATAAAGCTGCAAGAATCTTGTCTCCTCTGGGTGGTACTAAGACGTGGGTCTAGAGCTATGAAAGGAGGGAGAGAAGTTTCTGGACAGAGGTGGCATCCAGGGACCCTAAGATGACTGTGAGATATTTGCTATGGCAAGGATGGTCAATGAAGCTTTGAACGTCTCATAGTCCATTTAATATTTTTAGTAGAGATGGGTTTTCACCACGTTGGCTAGGCTGGTCTCGAACTCCTGACCTCAGGTGATCCATCTGCCTCAGCCTCCCAAAGTGCTGGGATGACAGGCGTGAGCCACGTGCCCGGCCTCATAGTCCTTTTTAAATATTTACTTGGTGTGCCCGGAACTGTAATTCCCCTCCATTGTTCCTGTTATGTGGAACAGAATTGTGATGGTGACCCTTTGGGCAAATAGGAAGAATGGGAGCAACAGGGAGGTGGGGGAGGGGCTCTCCAAATGGTGGGGAGGGAAGCAGCACCCACATTCAGTGAGAGCAGTGGTCAGAATGTGCGGTGGCTGTGAGGCACTTCAAAAATCCTGCCAGAAATGAGGCGGGACTTGGAGTGACTATGAAAGGAAAAGGCAATTCCAGACAGTGGGAGGACTCGGGGCTTTCCAGATTATCCTGAGAGTACCGTGCCTCTGCACAGGAACACGGGAGCCACTGGCTGACTTGAAGTGAAGCCCCAGGACCATGTGCCAGGCAGGAAATCCCTGCTTAGTAAATGTTCCAACAGGCCCATAACCAAAACTCACCCCCTCACCCCTCTGAGACAAGTTCTAGCAAAACACATGGCCCGTGAAATAGAAGGCTGTGAGTTCCAGGGAGCTGGGAGACACCGGGACGGCTTAGATTAGATCTAACTTCCCATCACTATGAGCAACACCCCCAAAACGAGTCTCTCCTGAGGCAGGTCAGCCCTGAGCCACGCAGAGCAGAGACTGGGCTTGGAGTGTGGCCTTACTCAGACACAACCACCCCTCACTGCAACAGCAGCATGCCAATGGGCTGCCAGCCTCCGTAAGGCCATGTGGGCATCAGAACCTTGATTCGGAGAGCAGGTAGGGTCACCTCTATCCAGGTATCCATCTGTATCAACACAGAGGAGGTTTCTTTAACTTAAGACTTTGAGCAACAAAAGATTTGTTAGCCAGGTGTGGTGGCCCATGCCTATAATCCCAACACTTTGGGAGGCCGAGGTAGGAGAATTGCTTGAACCCAAGAGTTCCAGACTAGCTTGGGCAACACAGCAAGACCCTGCCTCTAAAAAATAGAAAATAAATAAATAAAAACCAAAAGATTTGTGGATGGTGACTGATCCCAATACTCTGTAGGAAGAATTGGGTATGATTTTATTAGTCTCTAGTTAGGCTTTTACGCATCAATGAGAGGTTCACTATTGTTTTCGTTCTGAGGTGTCTTCTGCTTCTCTTGCCAACAGTCTGGTGGTAACTCTCAACCTGTGTGACTGAGGGATTCACCACTAGGCTGCTCGGGTCTGGCGCCTCATTGCAGGTCCTCCCTCCTTGTCCCCACCCCACAGGGGCCACTCTATGGAGCTGCGGGTCATTCACACTCACCTCAGGGCCCTCAGCACTAAGCCCCAGTCTTTACCAATGTAACAGGAAAGGAAAACAATCAACACAAAAAAGAAATGATTGTAGTTGTGCATCTAAATTCTAGAGGCGTAGGATGGATGGGCAGAGGGAGTAGAAGGAAAGGGGCTTGATTGTTGAAGAAAACACCTGTTTGGTGACGAAAGCTGAGCCTCCTTTCCACCCTACCCACAGCCTGGCATTGTCTGGAAGGAGAATGGATCTACACAATGAGATGGCAAGAATTTGGGAATTTTCTTCAGGCTTCAAAGGAGACTGGTTTGCCATGACCTAGAATAGGGTAAAAGGGGCCAGACTCTGCTCCAAAAAAATTGCTAAGGCCAGGGTTTAAGAAGAAAGATAACTCTGGCCAGGTGCCGCGGCTCACGCCTGTAATCCCAACACTTTGGGAGGCTGAGGTGGGCAGATCACTTGAGGTCAGGAGTTCAAGACCAGCCTGACCAACATGGTGAAACCCCGTCTCTACTAAAATACAGTAAAGCCAGGCATGGTGGCACATGCCTGTAATCCCTGCTACTCGTGAGGCTGAAGCAGGAGAGAGAATCCCTTGAGCCCTGGAGGCAGATGTTGGAGTGAGCCAAGATTGCGTCACTGCACTCCAGCCCGGGTGACAAAGCGAGATTCTGTCTCAAAAAAAAAGAAGAAAGATAACTCCAGAAATTCCCCATAAGCTGCAAAGCTGAGGTTCCTCCGAATAGCAGTACCACCCTTAGGCCCTGCGCTTTAAAACCTTGTTACTCAGATTATGATCCAGAGACCAGCAGCATCAGTAGCACATGAGAGCTTGTTAGCAATGCAGACTCGCAGGCCCCACCCAGACTTACAGAACTAGAACCTGTCATTTAAAAGACCCCCTGGCAATTTATATATACGCTAAATTTTTTGTTTGTTTGTTTGTTTTGTTTAAGATGGAGTCTCACTCTGTTCCCCAGGCTGGAGTGCAGTGGTGCAATCTCGGCTCACTGCAACCTCCGCCTTTAGGATTCAAGCGATTCTCCTGCCTTAGCCTTCAGAGTAGCTGGCATTATAGGCACCTACCACAATGCCTGGCTAATTTTTGTATTCTAGTAGAGATGGGGTTTCACCATGTTGGCCAGGCTGGTCTCAAACTCCTGACCTCAAGCAATCCATCTGCCTCGGCCTCCTAAAGTGCTGGGATTACAGGCGTGCGCCACCACGCCCGGCCTTTATGCTAAATTTTGCTAAGAAATGTTTTAGAGCATTGGTCTGCAATTTGGCTGTGCATTGTGATTTCCTGGGAAGCTCGTTACAACATTGATTTCTCAACTGCCAGAACTCTCAGGTGATTCTATTATGCAGCAGAATCTGAGAACCACTGCCTTGGAGAACTTTGATCTGGCCTTTCTCGGGCTGTGCCCGTGTGCATGGGGTGAGGCATCCATGGCACAGGGGTGTGCTGGCCAAATAGCTCCCCAGGAAAACAAAAATCTGATTTACAGTGTTTGTCAATTTCCATAATGTAAATATTCCCACCATCACTGATTTCAAGCTACCACCATGATGTGACTGAAAGTGGAGTTAGAAGATGTGCAGAGTTGGTTCCCAAGGGCCTGTCCTAGCCAACACCACTGTGTAGGGCCAATGAGGTACGTCCACTGGAGCCTCTCCCACTCCATGAGGACCAGGGAATGACCTGATCCCAAAGTGGGCAGTAGAGAGTTCACATGTGAGGTCCCTCGTGTGCAGGATGGAGCTGTTGTTGGGAAGAGAATGGGGGAGAAGGTGAGGGTTGAGGTCTCCATTTGTGCTCCTGTCCATCCCTGTGGATGTAGGGGTGGGCCTGCCGGACAGTGAGAACTCATTTGGAATTTTCAGCCCTTTCCTGATCACTGCTATGAATAGTGACCCTCTATTATTACGAAACCTCCTCAGTCCTTAAGAACACGTTTCCAGGGATTGGCTTGGTTGAGGTGTGCTTGGGGGAATGAAGGAAGATGGAGAATGCTCATGCCTTGGGTGAGGGAAGGGGAGAGAGGACAGCAGATACTGGCAGCAACAAGACTTGAAGGGATGAAGAATTCAGATAGCAGTAACCAGGAGAAAATAACCAACCCCCACCTCCCAGGATGCCTTAGAAAGGCTGAGAAGGCTGCTGACCTCCCACAGGATGCAGGAGATGGACTTGAGACATTTTATCTGTTTGTTAAAGGAAGGGTGAGCCCTGAAGGCTGGAGGATTCAGGCCAAAGAGCCCAGACGCTGGAGTCAGGCTGCCTGGGTTAAAGTCCCAGCTCCCCGCCTGTAGCCTTGTGGCCTTAAGTAAGTCACGTAAGCTTCCATTTCCTACTCTATATCTACCTCCTGAGCCTGGGGAGGGTGTGGGGCACCCAGTGTGCACTTGGAAGGCAGAGAGTTGGCCAGATCTGGGGCAGGAAAGGGCAAGGAGGGCAAAGGGCCTGGTGGCAGAGGCCTGGAGGAGGCTGGACAGAGCAGGAAGCCCCTCTGCAAGAGTGTGTCTTGGGAGGATGGTGTCCTACAGGAAGGGAGCCTGGAACTGCTAAAGGGAATCGATGAATGAAAAGGAGCCTGCCCAGGCGCATTGGCTCACACCTGTAATCCCAGTGTTTTGGGAGGTTGAGGTGGGTGGTCATCGGAGGTCAGGAGTTCAAGACCAGCCTGGCCAACATGGTGAAACCCCGTCTCCACTAAAAATGCAAAATAATTAGCCAGGTGTGGTGGTGGGTGCCTGTAATCCCAGCTACTTAGGAGGCTGAGGCAGGAGAATCACTTGAACCCAGGAGGTGGAGGTTGCAGTGAGCTGAGATTGCGCCACTGCACTCCAGCCTGAGTTACAGAGCAAGACAGTGTCTCCACAAAAAAAAAAAAAAAGAAAGAAAGAAAGAAAAGAAAAGGAGCCTGAGACAAACACCACCTACTTCCCAGGGGTTAGTAACACAGCTTTGCCTCCCATCCAAATTCCAGGTAGTATTTCCTGTAAAATATTCAAAGTGTATTAGCCGGGCATGGTGGTGGGCGCTTGTAATCCCAGCTACTCAGGAGGCTAAGGCAGGAGAATCACTTGAACCTGGGAGGTGGAGGTTGCAGTGAGTCGAGATCGTGCTACTGCACTGCAGCCTGGGCAACAGAGTGAGACTCCACCTCAAAAAAAAAAAAAAAAAAAAACATATATATATATATATATATTCAGAGTGTGAGGGCTTGAGCCCCACCAATGATTGCCAGAAATTAAGCACTCTCAAAGGGCCTGAGAGCTCCCCAGATACTGACATTTTCCACTATTTGTGCGTGTGTGCGTGTGTGCGTGTGTGTGTGTGTGTGTGTGAGAGAGAGAGAGAGAGAGTTCCATGGCGTCAGGGTCTCGGCCTCAGTTTCCTCATCAGCTCCGGATGCCAGTCGGAAGCAGGCCCCCCTGGGCCTGTCCATTCCCGAATTAGAAACAGCCCATCTTCAGGGAGTCCCAGTCTGTGACTTCCTTTACTTTCCCGTTCTGATCCAAAGCCTGTTTTTGTCTTCAAATCTTTTCTGTAGTTAAGCTCTTCCCAAAATTACTAATAAGAAAAATGCCCACAATCTTCAAGAAAAACCTATTTCCCACCTATAGTGGGAGGTAGTGGAGGGGGATGAGATGTCGTCTTAGTGGGAAAATCCCAATAAGACAAGCAAGTCAGAGTCAAATAGGAGTTTTGTGTGATGTTATATACCTAGGATGTGGGTTTTGGTGTTTTCAGGGACCCAGGCTTCTATCCTGTTGCTCCATCATTTCTGGGGTATAACAGCATTATTTGCAATAACCAAGAGGTAGGAAAAATCCAAGTGTTTATCAACAGATGAATAGATACCCAAAATGTGGTCCATACATACAATGGAATATTATTCCCAAACACGTGATCCTGACAGCTCACCAGCACCATTACGTCTACATTGGCGCCAACAAGAAAGGGGAAGGAGAAGAGGAAGGCATGCCCCTTTGCTTGAAGGGCATGACTTGAAAGTTGCACACATCACTTCTCATGTCTCATTGATCAGAACTTGGCCACGTGGCCATACTTACCCTACAGGGAAGGCTGGGTAATGGAGCCTTCATTCTAGGAAGCCACTTACCCAACTAAAAATGCTATTAGTATGGCAGGAGAGAGTAAATATGAAGGTTCAACTCTCAGCCTCTGCTCTAGATACCCACAACCGCAACTGGGCTGAACTGCAACAAACTCGGTCCGGTTCCTTGAGATTCTCTGGGGAAGGTGAAGAACCTTACCCTGCCAGCACAGCTGAAGAGAAAAGGTAGAATTGTTATGGAAAAGAGGGTCATGGGGTTTGGGAGTTTTTTGTTTTAGTTTTTGTGTTGCATAATCTACAAGTAAAATCAATCTCTCTCCTCTCTCTCTCTCTCTCTCTCACACACACACGCACACGAGTAAACTTCCTGGCTTTATTGTTGTTGTTGTTATTTTTTGAGACAGAGTCTCACTCTGTCACCCAGGCTGGAGTGCAGCGGCATGATCTTGGCTCACTACAACCGCTACCTCCTGGGCTCAAGTGATTCTTATGCCTCAGCCTCCTGAGTAGCTGCGATTACAGACACCCGCCACCACGCGTGGCTAATTTTTGTATTTTTTGTGGGGTTTCACCACGTTGGCCAGGCTGGTCTCAAACTCCTGGGCTCAAGTGATCCACCTGTCTCGGCCTCCCAAAGTGTTAGGATTACAGGCATGAGCCACCGTGCCCAGCCTGCTGTTGTTTTGAGACAGGGTCTCACTCTGTTACCCAGGCTGAAGTGCAGTGCGCACTCATGGCTCACTGTAACCCCAAACTCCCGGACTCAGGTGATCCTCCCACCTCAGCCTGTCGAGTAGCTAGGACTACAGGCGTGTGTCACCACACCCAGCTAATTTTTTGTATATATTTTTTTTTTTCGAGATGGAGTCTCGCTCTGTCGCCCAGGCTGGAGTGCAGTGGCGTGATCTCGGCTCACTGCAAGCTCCACCTCCTGGGTTCACGCCATTCTCCTGCCTCAGCCTCCCGAGTAGCTGGGACTACAGGCACTTGCCACCACGTGCGGCTAATTTTTTTTGTATTTTTAATAGAGACGGGGTTTCACCGTGTTAGCCAGGATGGTCTTGATCTCCTGACCTCATGATTCGCCTGCCTCGGCCTCCCAAAGTGCTGGGATTACAGGCGTGAGCCACTGCACCCAGCTGATTTTTTGTAGACATGAGGTTTTGCCATGTTGGCCAGGCTGGTCTTGAACTCCTGGGCTCAAGCAATCCACCTGCCTCAGCTCCCAAAGTGCTGGGATTACAGGTGCAAGCCACCTCACCCGGCCAGCTTAATTGTTTTTAAGATGCAATTCTAAGAACATGTTTTCTATAGACGGAATTGCTATCCCCGTTTACTCTTACTTCTATATGCATTCTGCCAACCAGGCAGAGCTGCAAGGGAAAATATTTTAAATTAATAGAATACATAATTTTTCTCCTGCCAGGAAGGTGTGCGTATCCAGGCAGCAGGCTTCGAGAACAAGGACAGCTCTACTTATCCTGGAGCTTTCATGTGGTGGGAGAGGCGCAGTGCTGTGTCTGTCCCAGAGCAGAGCACAGAGCAGGGCAGGCAGCCCCTCTGGAGGTACGTGCTGCTGCCTTTGTTTGCTTCTCAACTGGATCCTCGTGTGTGATTGGGGTCTCTGATTTGTAGTACACTCTCTACCGTACAACAATACTCCCTTATTCAATTGTCAGCATAAAAATTCATCTCATTACTACATATGAGTCTCTCTCTCTCTCTCTCTCTCTCTCTCTTTCTTTCTTTTTGACAGAATCTTCCTCTGTCACCCAGGCTGGAGTGCAGTGGTGTGATCTTGGCTCACTGTAACCACCACCTCCTGGGTTCAGGCGATTCTCCTACCTCAGCCTCCTGAGTAGCTGGGATTACAGGCACCCATCACCTCACATGGCTGATTTTTGTATTTTTAGTAGAGACGGGTTTTCGCCATGTTGGCCAGGCTGGTCTCAAACTACTGACCTCAGGTGATCCGCCTGCCTTGGCCTCCCAAAGCACTGGGATTACAGGCGTGAGCCACCGTGCCCGGCCCATACGAGTATTTTCATATTCTCTACTATTTTGTTGAGTTTTTTCCCCCTACAGTATTGACTGATAACTGATTCTTGGTATACTAATTGAGTTATGCATTTATTTAATATTGATTATAATAATAGCTGGTATTTATTGAGCCAAATGCTGGACGGAGCACGGAGGTCATTTTATCTAATCTTCATGACTATCCCACAGGCTGCTGTGTACAGCTGTGCAGTTTGTGCCTGGCTGAGGGAGGTACAGGAGACTTGGTGGGGCTAAAATCTACTCTGGTCCCCACCCACGGTGCTGTGTGCTGGGGGAGAGGATACACCCCCCTGGTGGGAAGGAGACGTTTTCTTCTCATAAAGGAGGCATCCAGAAGTGGTCCATTTGGAGCCTTGGTTACCCATGAAATAGACATATTACTATCCCCATTAGGCAGATTCAGAAACTGAGATACAAAGAAATTAAGAAACTTCCCTGGGTCACACAGCTGGCGGTAGATAGAAGGAGGAACTCAGACCAGGAAGCCTGATTCAGATACAGGCGCTTAGCCTCAATGCTGTTGGGATGATGTCTTTTCTACTGCCTGGGAACATTCAGTCTTACTCTGTAAGCACCTGGAAGACAGGCATCAACATCCACAGGATTCGCCTTAGGTTCTGTACAGCACAATCTGCCAGTGAGTGTGTGGAATGCATTCTTGACACTAAAGGAATCATTGTTCAGATTCTATGGACAGAGAGCTCCAGCTACCACACCCAGCTGCTTGGGACTGGGATTTCACAGTGCAGACAGGTGGCATTGAGAATGGTCAGAGAAGTGATCTGCTGAAAAAATCAAGCCCTAGATTCTCTTTTCTAGGATGCACATGGTTCTAGAGTCTGGAAATCAGGCAGCTACGCTTGCTCAGAGGAAGGATTTGAGCATCAACTGTCCATCCTCCCATCTCCCACACACCCACCCCTCACATCTTTGTGGAGCTCTGAAAGATCAGCATGTCCATAAAATCTATCTCCCTTCTAAATGTGCGACCAAAGTTTCACCATTTAATGCCTTTCCTTGGGTTATCATTGCCCCATCTGCCACCATCACCCTCCCATTTCTCCCCACTTGTTCCTTGATGCCTGAAATTCCTTTAATATGAAACAAAGCCTTTCATTTCATAAAGGGTGATGAGGCTTAACATGCAAGCACCCCTCAGAAAGGCAGTGCATTGATTTAAATTCACACCATGTAACTTAGGTATAAATGAGTGATCAGGTTTTTCTCTGAGAGAATGTTTTGATGGGGAAAGACAGAGAAGGGAATAAGGACACTAGAAAATGCAGGGTTGGAGGAAGTGCAGTCTAGAGAGAGAAATGCGCAGAAAGGACAGGCTAGGCCCGCCCAAGATGAATCTCTGTGGCATCAGCTGACACCTAGCGCCTCTGCCTCCACTGCTCCCTGAGTGGCTCCTGTGATGCTCCTGTGGTGCGGGAGAGAGGCGTGGCCTTCATAGGGAGTCAGATCCTGATTTGATGCCCAGCTGTGTAGCCCTAGCAAGGCACCTAACTTCTCTGTGCCTGGATTTCCTCACCTGGGGAATAAGAGTAATAAAACGTATCTTGCACATCTGCTTTGGGATTGTTTTTTAAATGTGATGAAATACACAGAAAATTTACCATCTCAACCATTTTAAGTTGTACAATTCAGTGGGATTAAGCACATTCCCATTGTTGCATAACCATCACCACAATCCATCTCCAGAACTCTTTTCATCTTGCAAACGGAAACTCCATACCTGCTGAACAATAACTCCCCATTTTCCTCCTCCCTAGCCCCTGGCAACCACCGCTGACTTTCTGTCTGTGAATGTGACTACTCTAGGTACCTTATATAAGCAGATCATGCAGTATTTGTCCCTCGTCACTTATTTCACTTAGCATAATGTCAAGGTTCATCTGTGTTGTAGCATGTGTCAGAACTTCCTTCCTTTTCAAGGCTGAATAATATTCCATTGTATGTTGGGACCACATTTTGTGTATCCATTCATCTGATGATAAACACTGGATTGTTTGTACCTCTTGGTTGTTACAAATAATGCTGTTATGAACATAGGTGTACAGAGAGCTGTTTGAGCCTCTGCTTTCGTTTCTTTGGGGTGTATATATACATGTATATTCAGAAGCAAAATTGTTGGATCCTATGGTAATTCTGGTTTTAATTTCGGAGGAACTGTCATTGTGTTTTCCATAGCAGCTGGAGCATTTTCCATTCCCACCAACGGTGCGCAAGTGTGCCAGTTTCTCCATATCCTTTCCAACACTTGATGTTTTCTGGGATTTTTTATACTAAACATCCTCATTTTAAAATAAGAGCTAAATAAAGCTGTCCATGGACACATCCAAAAGTCATACTGGGTAAATCCAACTAGAGAAAACTTGAAGAAGAATGCCGAACTTTATGATAGATTGTCCTGAAGGGCACAAGGATTGATGTAATGGGTCACGTAGCAAACATGTTGAAGTTCCTCCCTGTCCTTTCTACTGTTGCTGCCACCCTGTTCCACAAAGTCTGTCACTGCCACACTGCCACACTCCTCCCCCTCCTCTGCTGGCCCCATGCTACGCTGTCATGGCCCCTGTATCCCTTTCCAAACACACCCTCTCATCTGACCCGCCTATTCACCTGATTTTTGAAGAGAAATTCTGGAATTCTGGTGAGCAAATTTCTCCACTTCATTATACAGATGGTGAAAATCACCTTGCACATATTAGATGCTCAGTGAAAGGTAGCTGATCTCATAGTACCTGCTTCATGGAGGTGTTGTCAACAGTAAACAAGTGACTGCATGCAAAGTGCTCAGAACCCTGCGGGCGCTCACTAAGTGCTCTCTCGAGCTTAGCTACTTCTACTGTGGTGGAAGTCACGGGGAGCCTAGTGTAGAGAACCTAATCACTTTTTAACAAGAAAAGTTGCCAAGTGACCTTTGGGTCCAGGTGACCACGGAGAGTCAGTCGTCTCAGAACAGATCATCTTGAACTTTTCCCGAAACTTGAGAGTGCTCCCCGAGTAAGTATGCAAGTGTCAGGTGAACAGGCATCCATTGCTTAACAGGATCTTTTGTGAGTTGACAAAGCCTGTTGTCCTCAGTATTCCCCTTAGTAGGGGAAGGAGGTTAATAAATTTGTACTGGGGGCTGGGCACAGTGGCTCACATCTGTACTCCCAGCACTTTGGGAGGCTAAGGCAGGTGAATCACCTGAGGTCAGGAGTTCAAGACCAGCCATGGCAAAACACCATCTCTACTAAAAATACAAAAATTAGCCAGGCATGGTAGCAGGTGCCTGTATCTCAGCTACTCGGGAGGCTGAGGCAGGAGAATCTCTTGAACCCGGGAGGTGGTGGTTGCAGTGAGCCAAGATCATGCCACTGCACTCCAGCCTCAGCTACAGAGTGAGACTCTGTCTCAAAATAAATAAATAGATAGATAGATAGATAGATAGATAGATAGATAGATAGATGGATAAATTTGTACTGGAATCAAGGAACCTCTTGGACAGAAAAAAAAAATTGAGAGCTAACTCTTCCATTTTGAGACTCCATGCTATCAGGACTTCTATTCAGAAGGTCCCCTGACTGAATCTGATGACAGAACAAGACCCCGTTCCAGAGAGGAGCTCACCCAAAGGGAAGGGTCACTAGGAAAGCAGAGCAGAGTCCAGGGGCTCAGCAGGAGATGAAGGAGGATAGTGGCGGTCAGTTCTGGTATCTTCCAGGGCCCTGCAGGGCAGCCTCTCCAGACTGGAAGCAGCCCACAAAAGCAGTGGAACAGAAGCAACTGGTGGATTCTCTAGCTTTATCTAGCAGCCAGTTTGGAACTGCTTGCATCACCAGTTTTTGCTTCTGAAAGAGACATGTTGAGAATCTTTCCATTTACATGCCTAACACTAAGCACATGGCTGGAATAAGGCAGGTACTCACTGCAGTCTGTGGGACAAGAGTGGGTCTGGTGTGGAGGACCCGACAATGGGAGCCTGAGCATTTCTTCTCTTCCTATCTCTGCCCCAGCAGCAATTCCTTTGTGGCTATCTCAGTCTGTTCTGGTTGCTATAACAAAATACTTTAAACAAGTAATTTATAAACAACAGAAATGTAGTGCTGACTGTTCTGGAGGTTGGGAAGTCTAAGATCAAGGTGCTAGCAGATCTGGTGTCTGGTGAGGGCCTGTTCCTTACAGATGGTGCCTTCTATGTGTCCTCACATGGTAGAAGGGGCCAGGAGGCTCCCTTGGGACTGTTTTAAAGGGCACTAATCCCATGCCTGAGGGCTCCACCCTCATGACCTAATCACCTCCTACAGTCCCCATGTCTTAATACCATCACATTGCAGATAGGGTTTTCAACGTAGATTTTGGGGGGACACAGACATTTGGACCCTAGCAGTGACTGTCCACTGAAGGGCTGTGGGGAGAGTTAGCCTGTTGGTATTTGAGCACACCGGACCCTTTGGACAAGGGCCCTTCTCAGAGAAGAACACGATGGTAATTGTCTTCTCTTCCACATGAAATGTCATAGTTTCACTCTGCTTTTTTAGTGCTTGAAATTATAGTTTTTAAAAATGTAAAATCAAGGTTTGTCCAAGGAATAAATCCTTTCCCTTTTCATTTCTTTCCATATATTAATGCTATAGAATAGAGAGTTTCTAAGCATTAGATCCAAATGGTTTGGTCAGTTTTGTTTATGGGAGTGGGATAAGATATTCTCTATCTTCTTATGTCTTTTTAAAAAATACTAAGTGATATGGTTTGGCTGTGTCCCCACCCAAATCTCATCTTGAATTTTCACATGTTGTGGAAGGGACCTGGTGGGAGATTATTGAATCATGGAGGCAGGTTTTTCCCATGCCATTCTCATGACAGTGAATAAGTCTCATGAGATCTGATGGTTTTAAAAAGGGGAGTTTCCCTGCACAAGCCCTCTCTTTGCCAGTTGCCATCCATGTAAGATGTGATTTGCTCCTCGCCTTCTGCCATGATTGTGAGGCCTCCCCAGCCTCATGGAACTATAAGTTCATTAAACCCCTTTCACTCTATAAATTACCCGATGCTGGGTATATCTTTATCAGCAGTGTGAAAATGGACTAATACACTAAGTATTATAGACTGAATGTTTTATACCCCCAAAATTCATATATTGAAAACCCAACCCCCAATATAATGGTATCAGGAGGTAGGGCTTTTGGGAGGTAATTAAGTCATGAGGTGGAGACCTCATGAATGAGATCAGTGTCCTTAGAAAAGAGACCTCAGAGAACTCTTCAGCCCCTTTTCTACCATGTGAGGACACAATGAGAAGATGGCCACTATGAACCAGGAGGTGACACTTCACCAGACACCAGATTTTCCAGTGCCTTGATCTTGGACTTTGCAGCCTCCTGAACTATGAGAAACAAATGTGCGCTGTTTAAGCCACCCGGTCAATGGTATTCTGTTACAGCAGCTGGAATGGACAATGACACTGAGTGTGATGGTTAGGTATTAACTTGGCTGGATTAAGGAATGTTTGGAAACCTGGTAAAGCATTCATTTTGGGTGTGCCTGTGAGGGTATTTCCAGAGGAGATTAGCATGCGAGTCTGAGTGGAGTAAGTGGGGAAGAGCCACACTGAATGTGAGTGGGTACTCTTCAATCTGCTAGGGGTCCAGAGAGAACAAAATCAGAGAAAAGGTGAATGGGTCAATCTGTCTGCTGGAACTGAGTTGTACTCTTCCTCTCCTGTTATTGGACAAGGACTCCAGGCTCTCAAGCCTTTGGACTCCAGCATTTACACCAGTGGCCTCTGGGTTTTCAGGCTTTTGCCCTTGGCCTGAGAGTTACACCATCAACTCTCCTGGTCCTGAGGCCTTCAAACTGGGATTAAGCCACGCTACCAGCATCCTGGGGTATCTGGCTCACAGACAGCCTGTCACAGTACTTCTCGGCCTCCATAATCACGGAGGTAATCCTATTGATTCTCTCTGTGCAGAACCCTGACGAATTCACTGAGCAAACTCTAGGACCTGGCAAACACACATGCTCCCCTTCTAGATTTCTAACAGCGTGGAGAAGGCTGACCCACATCTTGACTATTCTATTTATTATCTGTACAGCAACCCTTACCATATAAACACAGCACCAGGCTGTGGCACAGTCACAACCCCATCCTTTTATTGTTTACACCTTTTTTTCCCTTCTTGAGAGTTGTCAAGAGTTGTGCAAAGAAAGCAAGTTACCTGTGTCCCACCCAAGCATGTAGGAAGAACAGATGGCAACAGGGCAAAGGAGGGTAGGGGTTGGGGGGCTGTGGCAGGCCGCAGGGAGGGGGCAGTAATAACATCCACCTGGAAGGGAGACTGCTCTGGGCTTGACTCCTCCACAGATGAGCTGTGTGACCTTGCAGAAGTTACTCAGTATCTCTGAGCTTCAGAGTCCTCAAAGGTAAAGTGGGAATGACAGTAAACACACTTCACAGGACTGTTTGGAGGATGAGATGTGCTCAGAGGGAGTGTAGGGTAGGTCCTTAGTGAAGAGTTGCTCTCCTGTGACGGCAACTCAAAAGCTGTATGCGTTCACCTGGGCCACCTGTATTTCACCGTAACTGCCTCAGGCAGGTTCAGAGGAGGTTTCTCCTGTCCAGGACACCTTCTCTAAACAGTGTCCATCCTCAGGCTGCTTTTCAGCCTGGGGCCCCAGCAGAGGCTTCTAGGAGGGAGCCACGAACTCATTCCCTGAAGCGCCTGCCTTTCTGCTCATGATAAATTTAGACAGGAGGCGAGTGGATCACCTGAGGTCAGGTGTTAGGGATCAGCCTGGCTAACATGGTGAAACCTTGTCTCTACTTAAAATACAGAAAATTAGCTGGGTGTGGTGGCGGGTACCTGTAATCCCAGCTATTTGGGAGGCTGAGGTGGGAGAATTGCTTGAACCTAGGAGGCAGATGTTGCAGTGATCGTGCCACTGCACTCCAGCCTGGGTGACAAAGTGAGACTGTCTCAAAAAAAAAAAGGTAGACAAGAGGAAGGCCCAGCCAACAGCACTGAAAAGCAGCACTTCAGCACCTGGTGTTCTTCCTACAGGGCCCTCAGGTCGCACACCCAGGAAAATAGTTGGTGGAGAACTGGAGAAAAGTTTCCCTTCGTTCTCCCTGGCAGGCTGTATTTCAGAGCTGGTACTCGGCAGAGCATCTTCAGGCCTTTCCCAATCCATTTAAGGACAACAAAGAGAAATGAAAAATATTTCTGCTCCCGCTCCCCTTGCTCTCCCTCCTAGCTCCTCCCCTTGCCATTCTTCTTTGCTTTTCTGTTCCCATTTCCTAACTCCAGTAGCTCTTTCAAAGTATCCTGGTACCAACTAGACCACAGAAAATGTTATTTTTCCCTACTCTCCAAAAGATGACTCTAATAATAATTTTGAAGCACAAACTTCAAAGCCAAGGTAATACATTTTTTAAAAAAGCTTCATTCTTTTAAATGAAAAAGTCCTATATGTTATTGTGAAAAAAGGAATCAAATAGTCCATATGTATATATCATAAAGCCCTCCATCCTCACTTATTTTCCTCAACTGCATTCCCTTGAAGTGAGCACCACTAAACAGTTTGGCGTACATCTTTCCAGATATTTCTAACTTGGTCACTGAACAGATACACAGTGATTGCCTACAATATTCTAGGCAGGGCAGTGTGCTAGGTCCCCTGGGGCCCAGTGGTGAGCAAACACAAATCTATATGTTGGGCTGGGTGCAATGATGCACACCTGTAATCCCAGCACTTTGGGAGGCTGAGGTGGGAGGATCCCTTGAGACCAGGAGTTCAAGACCAACCTCAGCAACACAGGGAGATCCTGTCTCTAGAAAAAATAAAAAAATTAGCCAGGTGTGGTGGTGTGCACCTGTAGTCCCAGCTACCCAGGAGACTGAGGCAAGAGGATTGTTTGGGCCCAGGAGGTCAAGGCTGCAGTGAGCTATGATTGCACCACTGCACTCCAGCCTGGGCAACAGACTGAGACCGTGTCTCTTAAAAAAATCGATATACATATCTATGTGTGTGTGTGTATGTCACATATATTAGCAAAAAATAAGATAATACTTTTCATTAAATAATATATCTGAGTCACTTTTTCATGTTAGTGGCTCAGATAATACATACTGATGATTTTTAATAGCCGCATCATATTCTGTTGTAAGGATATACCAAAATGCAAACAACCTGTGTATACTGTGTTAACAACGAGCTGCATTTTCTCTGCTTGTGGAATGTTGAGCAACCTGCTTCCTGTATCCTGTTTGAGCAGAACCTGGTACAGTCTGAACAGGGATGCTCTGGGGCCTGTCCCCAGAGTAGAGAGATAGCCGGCTGAGTGGACTGACATTTGGACGCCTTCAACAGGCAGACAAGTCCAGCACCAGGAGCATGGTGTGCCTGCCCAGGGCGCCCAGCTGGCCAGTGACATGGCTGAGTTCGTACCCAGGTCCTCCTGACTCCAAAGCTCCAGCTAACACCGCTCCCATCACCCCCTGCTGCCCGGAAAGGCAGTTGTGTCTTCTCTCTCTCTCTCTCTCTTCACATCGCTGGGTATCATCCTGCCTGCAGCGCTCCTTCATGCAATACATTCTGCAGGCTACTGATTAAACAATGGGAAGGGAAGGGGAGAAAATAAACTGGAGGTCAGGAAAATGCAGCCAGAGGTTAGAGTGCATGCGTGCATGTGTATGTATGTGTGTGTGTGTTCTTAAAATTAACCACTTTTTTTGTGCCTGACAATAGGGTGGCCCGTGCACAGGCCACAGGCATGTGTGTACACGTGTGTCCAGGGGCATGGTCAGTGAGCCCCCGGCTCAGTGGTTATAGGCAGCAAATACTGATGTTTTAAGCAGTTAGAGGAGATGCAAGAAGCTCCGCTCCCTCTTCCTCCCCATTATCTGCCCCCAATCCCCTCTTTGATGCTGCTAATGATTAGTCATTCTTAACCCTCAAGTTCAATATCCTCCCGGAGATACCCTCCCAGGCGAGGGCACTGCGACTACACTGAGGTTCGGCCCACTCCTGGGCAGCTTCTTAGCTGGGTGGCGAAAACAAAAATGCCGCCTAATTGGTCACTGGCCCTTTCTCATGAATGAAGGAGGTTTCTGTTTTAAGAAATAGTGACTCCTCAGCCGTTGATTCACTGCCCACAGGGAGATTTTGAGCAGAGGCTTCCTAGGCTCCGTAGAAATTTGCATACAGCTTCCACTTCCTGCTTCAGAGCCTGTTCTTCTACTTACCTGGGCCGGGAGAGGGCGGAGGGAGGCCCAGGGCGACCCAAGGTGGAGAGAGACGAGAAGCCGCCGAGAGCCGACCACTCTCCGGGCCCGGTCTGTCTGTCCGTGGTGGTTCTAAGGTAAGTTACTCGGAGTTACCACTTGCCTGGTCTTATTTCGTCACCTCTGACCTATTTTCCAAAGCACGCTGTTTCTCCTTTACCGAAACGTTCTGCCTCTACTTTTCTCTGTCTTCCTCTCCCCTCCTTTAACTTGTTCGCACAGAGACCATCTTAGCTGAGAAAATGACAGTGGAGTTTGTGCTGCAAGGATGCGTTGCTGGTATAGTATTTCAGGCCAGCGAGCCCCGCCGAGTTAACCCTTTGAGGAGAGGAGGCTCGCACACGGGGACAGCTCGGAGCTGCCTGGGAACCATTTGTTTGGGTACTTAGTGTCCCCACACGTTTCTATCAAGAATTCAAGCCCCACTTCTCCAAGGAGAGAGCCAGGGATGGCAAAGATTAAGTAATTGGCTTTCAGCCCCAGAACACGTCAGTGGCAGAGTTTTCTCGAGCCCTGTTTCGTGCAGGGGGGAAAAAAAAATCAACAGCACATTCTTGGGCCAGGAAGTTCTGCTGAGCTCTGTGCTGGCTCTGAGCCGCCTCCCGGCCCCTCTCCGCAGCCGCCCTCCAGTCCTCCCAGGCTGGCGCTGGACGGAGCCTTTGGGAAAAGGGGAAGAAATGCCAGAACTTGATCTTAGAAGCTAATCAAGCTTCTTGTGACTTTCAAGTTCAAGATGCTATCTTACAATAGGGGGCCTTTTTTTTTTTTTTTTTTTTTAAGGAACAGGAGAACAAGAGGCCAATTTTTTTTTAAAAGGACAAGAAACTTGGTTTCAAGTTCTTCACTTCTTGTGGTTCCATGACTTAGGCAATTCACTCTGACTCCACTAAGCCTGGATTTCTTCATCAGTAAATTGATGGGGGGTGGTGATCTAACACGAGTGTGTCAAATTCCCTATAAAACAAAGCCAGGATAGTCCCAGAGGGGTAGTGGTAATGGGTGGTCTTCAAGACTTGTTTTGTTTACTGATTATTCACATATTTTAATTTTACCTCCCACTACCAGTTGGTTACCCCCTTGAGGAAAAGACTTTTGTTTCCTGATATTTTTCTACCCCCCAGAATTCAGCATGCTACCAAATGCCTAGTAGCACCCCGCTTCCATGTCAACTGTTTTGATTTCTGTTTCACTCGTCTGCTCTCAAGGCAAAAGGTAAAGCAGCAGTCAGGGTGAAAGGCCGGGAGAGGCTGGGGGACACGTGTCTCTGCCAGAGGGCTGCCTGGAATTGAGGCCTTATGATTGGCTCTAGCCAAATAGGAGAAAACAGGGAGTTTCTCGAATTAGTTCATGTCCCATTTGGGTTACCCAGGAAGGATAGTCCGTGCTATTCCCAACAGAGTCAAGGCAGGCCAGAGAACTGGCAGACAAGCCCAGCTCCAGAAGCCAGAGTTACTGCTGTAGCTGGACCTGGAAACCACTCCTCAGTTGGACCAGTCAGTGTGTGTGGGGCCTTTAATGGGAGGGGAAGGGAAACTGTGAAACACATCCTAATACCATGTAAGGGTGATGACACCGATTAGAGACATTATTAGATGGCGGATACACAGAATCCTTAACTTTTTCCAGACCATGACTTTAAAAAAAAAAAGTTATTGTTTCTTTTTGGCAATTACCTGCCGTCAATACAGTTCAAGTAGGCCCTAGCTGACCGGGATGGGCTGGTGCAGAGCTTTTGGTATTGCTAATCTGTTTTTGTGGGATGTCCTGGTGTAGTCCATGTCATGTTTTTAGGCATTTCTCTCTATTCCCCTGGGATGAAAGGACAGGAATTTCAAGATAGTTCACCTGCAATGAGTTCCAGATTTTATTTTCAAACAATGATGCACCATTATCTGAAAGCAGGCTAACTGTTGTGCACTTGCCAGCCTCGCTCTAATCCTTAAAGGCCACACACCACAGTCATTCTTAATCTGCTGCTGCAGCTACCAGTCACCCCATGACGGAGCATCAAAAGATGGATAATGTAGTTACTCTGCCCTGTTCATTGCGTGGGGTGGGCTAAACAGGAGTGAGGTCTGGGTAATGTACCAACATGTCGGATAGAAAGGTTCTTAACTCAGGGTTACTCATTTTTGGAGGGTGTAGGGACAGGAAATGTTAAAGCCTGCTTCTCCCGGGATTAAGGAGTTAGTGACTTTCAAATGCTCTGAAAATAAAAAGAAGAGGAGAAGACAGTCATATTTGCAGGCATTCTTCCAACAGGCATTCAGAAAGATTATGGTGGGGTAGTTTGTCTAAATTAAATCTATGTTTTACACATTGCAGAATGGCAATCTCAGGAATATCCTGAATTCAAATCATTTTTCTGCTGCAGGCAATTTTAGATTAGCTTCTAAAAACATATATGAATTGCAGGCAACTGCTGCAGGAAAAAAAGAGAACACAGATGAGGCACATTCAACTTTAAATTCCTTTCAGATCCAACGAAATGACCCCTAATGTTTGATCACATTTCCTTATCAAAACAATCCTGCAGTCTGAAGGATTTTTCCGTGAGAAAGTGTCTGAGGATTGGAATCGAGAAGCTGCCCCCTGGGCCTCTCCTGTTTCTTCCGAATGCGTTGTCACCAAGATATTTTTAGTTCATGAAACCCAGGCTGTCCTTTCTCCCACTGACAGTCTTTGTCTCCCGTGTCCAGCAGGCCTCCTAGGAGCACACACGTGCTTGGCCGTGACTAAGCTCACTCTGTAGCTGTGTGCGCGCACCTTGTGTGTGTGCGCGCACCTTGTGTGTGTGCGCGCACCTTGTGTGTGTGCGCGCGCACCTTGTGTGTGCACAGACTTTCCCGGATACCAGAAGTCGTAGACTGGCTGAAGAAGGGTGGGCTTCCATCCGTGGGGTGATCCTTAGGTCTGTGCTGGTTTGGCTTGGCTCCCTGATAAGGCAGCTGAACTCAAGCGGAGGGCCAGGACTGACTGAAGTTCCCAGCCTGTGCCCCTCTCCTCGCACCCCTCAGACCGAGGCTGCCTGGGTCTTGGCAGCTCCCTCAGCAATGAGGGATACTTGTCTCCGCTGCCTCATTGTTTCCCTGCAGTCAGGATGCCAATGTTTTTTCCCTTTCCCCTTCCCAGAGTCAACAGGTCTCCCTCCCAGCTCTGAACTCTCTTCCTACTCTGAGCTGTCTGTCCAAACTCTTCCTGGCCTCCCAGCTTACCCTATGATCCTCTTGCCTTTTACCTATATTCATTCTTTCCCTTCCCTTCCAACTACCCCTTCTCATACCCAGCACTACATACAAATTACAAGTTAATTAAGTGTCTCTCCTACACCAATAAAAGGCAAATACAAAAAAATCCTCCAGCATTTCCCCACTTTCCTTACTTCTCTTCCATTCTCCTTCCTTCCTTTCTCTCCCTTCCTCTTCCTCTCTTGATTCTTCCTTTCTGCCCCTTCCTCTCCTTCACTCCGTGGCTGGGGCTGAATTTGGGATCACACGTGTGCTTAGAGAAACCATCTTATCTGAAGAAACAAAAAACCAAAAACCAAAACAATGACAATGACAAAACAAAACAAAAAACAAACAAAAAACATGGACTGGTTTGAGGTTGTTCTGTAAATGTTTATTATAACTTCTGATGTGATGGAGTCAGTGTGTTCCCATTAGTCCTTCTCCTCCTCATTTAGTAGCTCAGAGGAGTCCCAGAGCAAACTTCCTCAAATCAGGTCGGTTCACACTGCACTGCCTTCAGCCTGATGTGAGTCTTACTGTGCTGGGTTATGTCCAAGGGCCAGTAAATGTTCCCTTCCTTCCAGGGCTCACCACTGTTTCAAGTCCTCTGGCAAGCCCAGTGGAAGAACTTCTCTGTTTGGGAAATTCTGCAAGTAAACTTGGAAGTATTTGTTCACTGGAGTTTGAATCTGAGCCAAACAGTTTACTCAAAACCAACCTTCCACTCAACGAAACAGCGTTATGAAAGTTTGCATGCATTTGGGCAGTAAACAAAGGACATTAAAGAGTTTAAATACATACATTTTTAAATCCATGACTTTTGGACATTTATTAAAAAGATTACTCTCCGGGGAATGAAGTAAGGCCTTGGGAACCTTGTAATTGAAAGTTTCTGATCCAAAGTAGATCTCAGGATCCTCCTAGCTGTAAATGTATAGATTTCTTTTTAATGTCCACCTGAAATATTCATGCTGTGTGTCTCCAGGACTCTTCAAACCTATTCCTGACTCAAAAAAACCTTAAGAAAAAATCCAAGCAGTTGTGATCACCAAGGCCTGATTATGGAGGAGCTGTTAATATGGTTTATTAATTACTCAGGCTGCTCACTCCTGCCCTTCCTCTGTTCCTTGCTGCGCTATTTGTCTTCTTCTGGGGACATAACACCTTCATTAAATCCCATCCGTCCTTGCCTTAGAGTTGTCCCCTGAAAGATAGCTCCCCTCTAGATGCATCACCATTTATCATCACCCTTTGTTGGTGCTCTGTCAACCAGTTTTCAATTTATTTTGAATTCAGTTTATGATTAAAATTTAATGAGATCCAATCAAATGCTTTTCTCAAATCAAGATGCCTCTGCAGCCTCATCTGTATCCTCTATTGTAATGGCGTGAAGGAAAGCCATGGCAGATTTCCAGCCTGGTGATGCTGTACAGAACACAGGTGGCCTGCTTCCATGCCTCCTCAGCTTCAAGGCGAATGGCTCTGAAGCATATTTATTCCAGAATCTGCTAGGGGTTATGCGTGTGGCTTCCCCATCCCCTTTTTTCTCTCCCAATAGCTGAACCAGTCAGTGCTCCCAACCGAGATGCAAGCAGTTAAGTGCACAGGCTCTGGTGCCAAACCGCTTAGATTTGAATCACAGCTCTGCTACGGAATAGCCATGTGACCTTGGAAAAGTTACTTACCTTCTCTATACCTCGCTTTTCCCTTTTCCCGTCTGTAAAATAAGTCTGACAATAGTACCTAGGAAATTAGAGTGGGTGTGAGGATTAAGTAAATTAATACATCTATCACACTTGGAACAGCATTTCCCACATAGTAACCGTTCAATAAATATTGGCAATGATTGCTAACAAAGAGTAAAGTTTCTTAAGTATGTCAGTTTCATTAGGTTTGTATTTTGGCTTATCAGCATACAATCTATATCAACAGTAAACTACAACCCTAGAGCCAATGGTTACCATGACCTGTTTTTAGCACCAGCCTGTTAATCAGAATGGTTTTTATATATTTAAAGGATGTTTTTTCTTAAAAAATAAAAAATAAAAAAGGAGCAGAATATGAAACAGACACAGCATGTGGTCCATAAGGCGTAAGCTATTTACTATCTGTCCCCTTTGCAGAAAAAGTTTGCCAACCCCTGATTTATATGGCTTAATGGAAAGAGCTTGGAGATCTAAAGGCTTGATTTGGCTTCACCCATCACTTGTTAAGTGACTATGGAAAAGCTTCTCAATGTGTCTAAGCCTCTGTAAAACAGGAATGGCAAAGTGGTAACACTTACCCTGCTTATGGCCTAGGCTTGTTTTAAGGACCGAAGGAGATGATGTGTATCAAATGTGCAGGAAATGACTTATATATATACATGTTTGTTAAAAAGATATGGTCTCTATACATTAGCTTCAAAGAATAGTATTAGCACCTGGGTGTATTAGCACCAGGGAATACTGTCTTTAAAAAGAGAGCTCCAAAGCCAGATAATAACTGCAGTTGTAGCTGCATTAAAAATAACAAAATGGCCATTGCTTTTTGAAAGCTTGATATGGGCCAGGCTCTACATTCAACACTTCATTTACATCTACTCTTTATCCTCACCACACCCCTAAGGAGAAGTGTTGCTCTTTTCCCTATTTTGCAGATGAGAAAAGTGAGGCCCAGAGACGTCAGATAACTTTGTCAAGATCACAAATCTAACCATGCAGCTAGCTGGCACAGGGAGAATTTAACCCTAGGGAGTCTGAACCCAGAGCCTTTGCATTTAAGTATTGCATATTTTCCCACATCCTAGGAATATGTGTCCATTTAGGGTAAGCCCATCTGGAAGGCAGAAGCCACAGTTCACTGTGGATGTGGGCATGAAGCCTGTTCATGTGTGCCCTGGGAGAGACTTGCTTCCCACACAGGCCACGGTGGAGTCTAATGGACCTGAAGAAAGGGAGGCAGGCATGATGGGCGAAAAGCTTTTTGATGAACTGTGAGATCAGAAAGGTAGCGTTGTGAAGACTAAGAGGCTCTGATTCAAAAAACTGGTAAGTTAAGGAAGATTGTGCTAGAAGAGGAAAAGATTGCTAGAAACAGACATGAGCAAAGAGTTGGAGGCAGCTCAGGGGGGTTGACTGAGAGCTGTGTACAGAAAAATAAAAAAAGAGAGAAGGTGAAGCATGGGAAAATCTGTCACTGGGACGCCAAGGGAGCATTGTCACATGGAAGTCAGGCTGCTGACATCTGGATGTGATATTATTCGCAAAACTAGGCAGCTCGGGGCAGAGTAGAGGAGCCCAGAGAAAGGTGTCAGGCCCGAGGAGGCAAAAAGGAAGACAAAGCGAGGGACCTGGAGAGAGAAACTGACAGATTTGAGGAAAGATGCCTGTCCGATCCAAAAGTTAGAACCGCAGCTCACAGTCCAAATGGTGATGAGAGTCCAGCGATGAAAAGCTCCTGTCAGGGTGGGTGCAGTGGCTCACGCCTGTAATCTCAGCGCTTTGGAAGGCCGAGGCAGAAGGATTGCTGGAGTCCAGGAGTTTGAGACTAGCCTGGGCAACATGGCGAGACTCCGTCTCTACAAAAAAAAACATTAACCAGGCGTGGTGGTGCATGCCTGTGGTCCCAGCAACATGGGAGGCTAAGGTGGGAGGAATACCTGGATCCCAGGGGGGCAAGGTGACAGTGAACTGTGATTGCGCCACTGGGCAACAAAACCTTGTCTCAAAAAAAAAAAAAAAAAAAAAGCCAGAAAGAAAAGCTACTGTCGTCTTTGGGGTTTAGTTGTGTGTCCCTGGGAATCACCTCTGTCCCCAGCTCACGCGCACCCATGCTTACCCCAGGCACGTGTTCTCAGCCTCTGCTGAATGGTTTTTGATATTTGAAGAGACATGTTCACTCTCTCCTGGGCGGTCTCATGAGTTCCTCATTCGCATTGGTTCTTAATGTTTGTGAGCATCAGAATCACGAGCAGAGCCTTTCCTTTTCATTTTTTATCTTTTAAGTCAATATAGGCGCCCTTGTGACAAAACTTAAATGGTATAAAATGTTCTGAAAAGCAAAGCTCTTTCCTACCGCATTCCTAGCCAGCCAGTTCCCTTCCCAGAGGCAACCACTGTTCCTCATTTGAGATGGGCAGATATACGACCTTTTATCATACAAAGGAGGGCATACCCTCCTTTGTGCTACTCTTGGATTTTTTTAACTTAATACATCTTAGAGATAGTTCCATTTCAGTTCACACAGCCCTTCCTCATTCTTAAAGGATGTGGAGTGCTCATTGTACAGATATACTACAGTTTTAAACATCAGAACCTTTAGACACGTGGGTTGTGTCCGGTCTTTGCTATTATAAACACTGCGGCGTTGGCTGTTTTCATAGCCTCTTCATTTCATACAAGGTATACATACCTCTGCAGGGGAAATTCTTAGAAGTGAAATTACTAGGTCAAAGGGCATACGCTTTTAAAATTCTGATAGTTACTGCCAAATTGCACAGATTACATTTCCCTTGACAAAGTATGAGAGAACTTGTTTACCTGTGAGACTTAAACAAAAATACACTAGTCTTTTACATACGATAAACAAAAATCCTCAGAGTCTCTGGGTGTGGGGCCTGGGCATCTGTATCGGGAGCCTCAGAGAGGGATTTGGAGCCAGGAACGCTTCTGGGTTTCCTCCCCCTCCAGCCCTGCTTTCCCCCGAGGATTTGCTGGTGAGCCCGAGACGACACAGGGCACTGCCAACATGGAGGCTCCCAGGGTCCTAGTTGGCAGGTCTCCTGTTCCCCTGAGGAGTCGCTGCTTGCTCCCTGGGTCATGGCTGGAAAACAGGGCTTTTCCACTTCAATCCAGGTGCCGCCCTCTGGTCATGCTGGAGCAAAGGTCATGCCAGAGTTACAAGCACGTAAATATGGAGAAAGCCTGGAAAAAAAAAAGGAAAAACAGAAAAATGGGTCAGGTCAGAACAAGCAAGAACCAGGCTCACATGCACAGCTGTTCCATCCAGTTGTATGTCCCCAGGACTCACCTCTGTCCCCAGTTCATGCCCACCTGTGCGTACCCGGAGTACACGCTTTACCCTCTGCTGAATGGTTTTCTGTATTTTAAAAACACAGTGGTGAGATACTGAGTGTTTTGTTTTTTTTTTTAATGTTTAGTATTTTTACACTATTGTCATTAAAGACAAAACAGATAAAACTGCCATCCCTGACATAACCCATTAATCTGTCTGTGGCCCCCTGACGTGGCATTTGTAATTGTTCTCTATGACTGCCTAAGGAGAGTTGGCAGGGTTGCCCATTTTCTGCCAGTTCAGGCAGGGGTCTGAGGCCGGAAGGGGCCGTGTGGTAGTGGCAGGCATGCCCCACCCTTTTCTGTTCTGGGCGGAGCTCTGCAGAGGCACAAAGACCAGCACCTCCCTGCCTGCAATCTAAGAGTAGATGCTCCCATCATGACTGATGGCATCTCCTTTATTCTGCAAGTAAGGATTGTGGCCAATCCTGCCCATGGGCAGGACCTTTGGGCATGGCCCAGACCTAACTTGGGTGCTTGACACATAGTGGGCACTTAACCAATGTTCTTGAGAGGAAAATAAAAGGAGAGGGAAGGCTCGGTCACCCATGTGGCATAATTTTAAGAACTCTGAGGACCAGGCCCACCAGATACTCCTTGCTCCCCAACATTGTTGTTGACAACATTCTCATTGTCACTGATCCAGCTACATGGACCTGTCTGTCCCCTCTCTGAAACAGGCATCAATTATTTATTCATTCAACGAATCTTTATTGAGCACCTACTATGTGCCAGGTGCAGTTGTAGGTGCTGAAAATATAGCTGTAAATAGAACAGTCAAAAATCATGCTCCCAGGCCAGATGTGGTGGCTCACTTACAATCCCAGCACTTTGGGAGGCTGAGGTAGGAGGACTGCTCGAGGTAAAGAGTTCAATACCAGTTGGGGTAGCATAGTGAGACCTCATCTCCACAAAAAAATTTTAAAAGTCAGGCACGCTGACCAGCACAGTGGCTCACGCCTGTAATCCCAGCACTTTGGGAGGCCGAGGCAGGTGAATCACCTGAGATCAGGAGTTTGAGAGCAGCCTGGCCAACATGGTGAAACTATTTCTACTAAAAATACAAAAATTAGCTGGACGCAGTGGCGCACACCTGTAATCACAGCTACTCAGGAGGCTGAGGCACAAGAATCGCTTGAACCTGGGAGGCAGAGGTTGCAGTGAGCCGAGATTGTGCCACTGCACTCCAGCCTGGGCGACAGAGCAAGACTCCATCTCAAAAAAAAAAAAAAAAAAAAATTGGGCACAATGGCGTGCACCTGTAGTCCTAGCTACTTGTGAGGCTGACATGGGAGGATCCTTGAGCTCAGGAGTTTGAGGCTGCAGTGAACCATGATCTAGGTACTGCACTCCAGCCTGGGTGACAGAGCAAGATCCCCATATCACAAAGAAAAAGAAAAGAGAAAACTGCACCCTTAGGAAGTTTATATTCTGGGAGAAGGGAGAGGTGATGAGCAAACAAGAGATTATTAGATATTTGTGTGTATCATATACATTTGGGTGATATATAAGACAGTGATAACTGCTGGAGAATAAGGTAAAGCAGGGTAGGGAGATGGGAATGAGAGAGCATGACCAGCAAGACCTCCTTGAGGTGACAGCCAAGGAAAGACCTCACGGAGAAAGGAAAGCCGCCATGCAGCTGTGTAGGGGAAGGGTACTCAGCCTAGTGTTTTTTAAAAATTATTTTTATCTTTTGAGACAGGGTCTCGCTCTGTCACTCAGGCTGGAGTGCTGCAGCACGATCTCGTCTCACTGAAGGCTGGACCTCCAGGGCTCAAGTGACCTCTCACCTCAGCCTCTCAAGTAGCTGGGGCTACAGGCCCACACCACCGCACCTGGCTAATTTGTTTAATTTTTTTGTAGAGACAGGGCCTCATTATGTTGCCAAGGCTGGTCTTGAACTCTTGGGCTTAAGTAATCCTCCTGCCTCAGCCTCCAAAGTGCTGGGGTTACAGGCGTGAGCCACCACGCCTAGCCCCAGACCAGTTTTAACTGCAGAATTCCCACCAGAGGATGACCTCAGATTTCCAGTTCTGTGAGATGACTGCCCTCATCGCTTTCTTTTTAAAGCCTCCTCCAAGCCCCCTGATGGCTCCTCAGCTAGAAGAGTGGAATATGCAACTTTTTAAAATGTGGGTGGAAAAGCACTTCTAAGGTATTTACATGGGAAAACCCAGGGAGAATGTAAATAGTTGTACCTGAATGGGATTGAAAGCGAATCCCATGACAATAGAGTACAGGAATTAGTCCTGCTAGTCAGCTCACTTTTTGCATCTCTTTGCCTCCCGTTCAGCTGTGGGCCCACAAGTGCATGCAGAAAATGACACAACACTCAGCTAGGCCTTGAAAAAATACTTTTGTTTTCCGACCAGCTGAAGAGCATGTTGTGTGGCACATCCAATTTCGTAACTGTGGAAAAATTGCAAGAAAGAATGGGAAAAAATGGTGAACTTTTTTTTTTTTTTTTGAGATAGAGTCTCGCTCTTGTTGCCCAGGCTGGAGTGCAGTGGCGCAATCTCAGCTCACTGCAACCTCCACCTCCCGGGTTCAAGCGATTCTCCTGCCTCAGCCTCCTCAGTATGGGATTACAGGCACGTCCCACCATGCCCAGCTAATTTTTGTACTTTTAGTAGAGACGGGGTTTTGCCATGTTGGCCAGACTGGTCTCGAATACCTGACCTCAGGTGATCCACCCGCCTTAGCCTCCCAAAGTGCTGGGATTACAGGCCTGAGCCACTGCGCTCAGCCGAACATTTTTAAAATAATAAACAGTTGCGATATTTACTGGTGTTTTTGGTAGGCTCTTGTTCATTTTTATAAGGTCCGCTCACTTTAGCTGATGAGGTCCCCTTTTCTGCAGAACCAACGAGCAGAGGACATACACAGCCTGAAAAGGACAAGGACAGGGAAAGGGAGAGATGGAGGGAAGGAGGGAAGGCCAGCCCGAAATTAGAAGTTGAGTTTTCTGTTGTGTCAGAAAGTGGAGCAAGGGTGGTCGTGCGGCAGGTGGGTAAGTTTGATACCAAGTGGCAGAAGAGTGTCAAAGAGCATTCATTTGGCAGGGAGTGGAGAGGTATCTTTCTGGAGGCCGTTAAGTACATTTGGTGGCAAACTGCTGGCCCCATCTGTGTGTAAGGGGAGCATTTCAAGATGCATGCTGTCATGATCGCATTGGATTGGGTACAAGGGCCAAGAGGAAGTGAATTCATGCCCTCCGAAACTTGTCTTAGAACCATAATTTGTGTAACCTGACTTTAGGCACAGTGAGCCCTCAGTCAGTGTTTGTGGTTGAAATGCGACATGGATCCAAAGTAGGAATTTTTAAATCCAGACACAATCCCTTTTCTCCCTCTGGTATTTGAAGTATGCTATGTACCAGCCTTGCATAGAATAACCCTCTGGGATTTCTTCTTTTTCACTTGCTTGCTCTTTTACAACCCCTGCTCTGCAGCCTCCTGCAAACCCCCAGTTGCTCCTGTGCAGTCCTGTGGACTGCCTTCTTCCTCCCTGTCTAGTCAAGGCATCACCTCAACCAGTTTAATGATGAGAGAGGGCTGGTTTTCTTTCTCATTGTGTTAGGTTAATTAAGAGTTCTTCTTCTTACAGCTAAAAGCAGTATTGCCTGGACTGTGGGCTAAATGCTCTGCAGGCTAAGGTCTAGTTTAGCGAGCCTTGCTGGTTCAACTACATCACAAACCAGATGGTCATGGCTACCTTTGTTGCAGGCATAGTGCCCAGAGGGAATTAAGTCCTCCAAATGACCTAAAATTAGGTAGAAAATGTCACTCTGACCTTTTTTCGATATGTTTTAAACTTGGGCTTTCTTTCTTTGCTTAAAAGAAAACACTTTTCTTTTTTAAAATTAGGCAATAGTCAAATGGAACAAAATTATAAAAGTTCAAAAGGTGAAAACTTCCTCCCACTGCTCTCCCCCAGCTTCATTCCATCCTCAAAGGCAACCAGTGTAGCAATGTCTATGATTCTTCCACACGTTTTATACATATACAAGCAGATATGCACATACAAAGACACACACATTCTCCTCTCATTTTTTACACAAAATAGCAGCATAGTATGCACACTGCTCTGCGCGTGGCTTTTAGAAAAAACTCACTTAATACATCTTAGCCATCATTCCATATCAGTTACTAAGATTTATTTCATCATGTATTCCAAGCACACACGAAGCAGCCCACATTATGATAATTTCTCTTTCCTCAATACTTGGCAGTTGATTTTCATCTGTGTTTTCCCCTTGCTGGTGAATGATTTCTACCACAGGATGGTCCCATCATATTCTTTGAATTGCCTTCCAGATAAAATATCTTAATAAGCATTAGTGCTTTTGCCTGGAGGATAAGTAAACAATTTTATGGATTAGGGCTCTGCAGGCACATTGGTGTCTCAATGTTAATTTAAACCACATCCTGAATGAGGTCCCTTAAGGTCATAAAGTGAGGACTCCAAGAATTGATCTGTCTTCTAAGGCTATGGCATGTTTTCTCTTGTTCCAGAAACTAGAATGAACCGAAGCATTCCTGTGGAGGTCGATGAATCAGAACCATACCCAAGTCAGTTGCTGAAACCAATCCCAGAATATTCCCTGGGAGAGGAATCAGAACCACCTGCTCCAAATACAAGGAACATGGCACCCAACAGCTTGTCTGTACCCACAACGCCTCACAACTCCTCCAGAGACTTTTCTCAAGCTCACGCAACCCTGAAACTTGCAAATCACCAGCGGCCTGTATCCCAGCAGGTCACCTGCCTGCGCACTCAAGTTCTGGAGGACAGTGAAGAGAGCTTCTGCAGGAGACACCCAGGCCCAGGCAAAGCTTTCCCCTCTGGGTGCTCTGCAGTCAGCGAGCCCGAGTCTGAGTCTGTGGTTGGAGTCCTCCCTGCAGAGCATCAGTTTTCATTTATGGAAAAACGTAATCAATGGCTGGGATCTCAGCTTTCAGCAGCTTCTCCTGACACTGGCCATGACTCAGACAAATCAGACCAAAGTTTACCTAATGCCTCAGCAGACTCCTCGGGCAGTAGCCAGGCGATGGTACAGCGGCCCCAGCCTCACAGGAACCGAGCAGGCCTGGATCTGCCAACCATAGACACGGGATATGATTCCCAGCCCCAGGATGTCCTGGGCATCAGGCAGCTGGAAAGGCCCCTGCCCCTCACCTCCGTGTGTTACTTCCAGGACCTCCCCAGACCTCTCAGGTCCAGGGAGTTCCCTCAGTTTGAACCTCAGAGGTATCCAGCATGTGCACTGCCTCCCAATCTTTCCCCACATGCTCCATGGAACTATCATTACCATTGTCCTGGAAGTCCCGATCACCAGGTGCCATGTAAGTGATCTTTACCTCCTCAGGGCATTCTGGGCTGGGTGACTGAAGAAACAAGGGCCTCACATCAATGCTTTGTGTCACTAGACTGGGATGAACAGGTCAGAATGCAGGGAGGGCATTCTGCTTCACCTAGGGGCTTTCCATGTGTGGTTGGATTTGCAAAGGGCCTTCAGAGAATGCTTTTTCTCTTTTTTTTTTTTTTTGAGACAGTGTCTCGCTGTCACCCAGGCTGGAGTGCAGTGGTACAATCTCGGCTCACTGCAGGCTCCGCCTCCTGGGTTCACGCCATTCTCCTGCCTCAGCCTCCTGAGTAGCTGGGACTACAGGCACCTGCCACCACGCCCGGCTAATTTTTTGTATTTTTAGTAGAGACGGGGTTTCACCATGGTGAGATCAGGATGGTCTCGATCTCCTGAGCTCGTGATCTACCCTCCTCCGCCTCCCAAAGTGTTGGGATTACAGGCGTGAGCCAGCGCGCCTGGCCGAGAATGCTTTTTCTTAGCCTAAAGCCTGTCCCACTGGAGTCTTCTTCTCTAGGGACCTTTAAGGACAAAACAGGTTCCTCTGTCTGGATTAGTTTAACAAACCTGCCTAGAAGCAGAGAGATGACCCAAGTGAGTTCTAGAAAATGTATTTTTTGTTCTGATCTTTGGGCATGTGGGTTCTTCCTTCTCTTCATGTTTCTTACCCATCTTAGATTTGGCAGAGAAAGGGCTTTTAGTGAAAAACAAAGCAAAACAAAACAAAAAACCAGAAGATGCCCAGAATGTCATTGAGACTCTGGGATTCGGGCCATTACATGAAAATGAGGTTGCGTCTGTGATTTTGCTGCTTAAACCCTTTTGGACACTTGAGCCATCCACAGCTACCCTACATTCCAGCCGCTCTAAGACTGGCAGTCCCCTACTTGTGATGGTTCACGTCTCCATGCGTTTGCCAGGCTCCTCTCTCTCTCCGGGATGTTCTGCTCCCTCTGGTGTGTCTGACCCAGTTTCGATACACCTTTTAAAAAAACTGCTTTATCGAGATCTAATTTACATACTGTAAGGTTTATCCTTAACCCATTTTAAATACAAAATTCAATAAATTTTAGTGTTTTCACAGAGTTATGCAACCACCATCATACACATTTTTTGAGACTTAGCTCAAGTGTCCCTCTGAAAACCTCCCCAGATCACGTTCTCCTTCAGGTCCTCTCTCTCCCTCCTGCTCTGGTCCTGTTGGGACACCTAACACCAGCATGGCATCTGATTATATACTTGTCTCCTCTCCTTCCAGACTGCAAGCTTTTGTGCATCTGCAAATGCAAACATGTACTTTCAATTCGTAATTCCCCAGCATTTAAGCACAGTGTCTGGCACATACTAGACTCTCAATAAACTACTTCTGAAATAATAATATGTACCAGTGCAGTAAGCATCTCTGAAAGTGATGAAGTCTTAGATTGAGATAAAAGATTCTATCACCTTTTTTTTTTTTTCCCTACCACCATTCTTGATGTTAAATCTCCGCTGAGGCCCCTGGAAAATAACAATAGGGCTTTACAGATGAAACACAGGGCTGTGAGATGTGATATTTTTCTTAGCAAATAAACACTAGACATAAAGTAGGTCAAAGAGTGTAAGAAGTGCCTGACCAAAGGCCTGATGCACAGCTTTAAAATCAATTATAGAAATAATTACAAATGCTGTAATCAACCATAATTTACATACTAGTACATGTATACTAAGTATAAAGCTTCCTAAAGTGAAGAGAGCAACACAGTAATTCATAACTCAAAAAAGAAAAAAACAACAAAGAGGAGATAGAGAAATGTAACTTAGAAGATGCTTGGAAGAAACAGGTAAGAATGAATGTGAGATCAGGAATGAGGGTGGGGGCTGGGGAAGCAGGAGGGTGTGAGGAGAATGGGGCCTTGGGCTGGAGAGGGAGAAAGAGCCCGTGATGCCTAAAACTGGGACGTGGTGTATAAATGTTGGGAAGTCAACAGGGTGGGAGCACATGGATGCTACCGCCTGCTCTAAGCGCCCAGTCATAGGGTGGGTGTGGTGGTGGATTCCCTTAAGTATGAATCACTGAGAACTGAATGTTGGCAAGGTCAAGGCTGTATTTCTCAGTGATTACCAGGTTTAAAAGGAATAATTTGTGAGAATAATACCATAAACTACTTTTTAACATTCTGTTAATCTGCATTTAAAGGTAAGTTTTCACCACGCATGGTGGCTCATGCATGGTGGCTCACGCCTGTAATCCCAGCGCTTTGGGAGGCCGAGGTGGGTGGATCACTTGAGGTCAGGAGTTCGAGACCAGCCTGGCCAACATGGTGAAACCCTGTCTCTGCTAAAAATACAAAAAAAATTAGCCAGGTGTTGTGGCAGGTGCCTGTAATCCCAGCTACTCAGGAGACTGAGGCATGAGAATTGCCTGAACCCGGGAGGCAGAGGTTGCAGTGAGCCGAGATTGCGCCTGGGCGACGACAGAGTGAGACTCCATCTCAAAAAAAAAATTTTTTTTCTGATCATTATAATATTTGGTCACTCCTAAAATTGAAATAATGCCCAGAAGTTCAAAAAAGAAAAAAAAAAGTTTTCATATTTCTGCCACCCAAATAAAATTCCCTATTAGGGTTTTGACATATTAATTTTCAGTGTTTTTTTTCTTTTCATATATTTTTAATCTGAAATTAAAATAATTTTCAGTGACATTGAGTGTACTTATTCCAGAATCATTTAAAACTGCTTCATCGTATTTCATCAGATGAATCTACCAAATTATTATTAACCTGTTCTTTATTGTCAGACATTTAAAATAGTTTCCAGTTTTCTGATCCAGTAAGCAATGATGTGGCCAACATTGCATACATACGTTTTTAACTGCACTTCCGATTAACCCTTTAGATTAATGCAAAGAAGTGTGAATACTTAAGTCAAGGCTTTGTGATACAGTCCCAAGCAGCTGATTTTGACTACTAGCAAGGGAAAGCCTCATTGTGACAGACAAAAACAGCACTGACTCATTGTTATAATGGACCCTCTGGAAAATACTTCCCACTGGAAAATACTTTTCCTGTTGTTGGAACTGAAACGGCGCCATTGGCAATCCAGTTTTTGGAGGTGAGCGTTGTCCCGTTGGGGCAGGTTCCTTTAAAAGGCAAACACTCCTGACTGGGAACACTTTTTGTCTCTATTGCCCCAGGACCCGCTTTCTTTCAGCATTTCACCATCCCCTTGCTCTCTGTATTATTTCCTTCTGTTAAGGGGTTGGGGAGAGACATGTAGGATCCTGGGGGCAAAAAGAGGTGTTGAAAGGCAGAGGGAAGAGAATGGAGATAGGAGAGGGGAATAATTCACAGAAGATATACAAGTAGCCAATATGAGAATTAAACCAAGCTCAGCATCATTAGATTTAAGAAGTGCAAAATTCTTAAAGATACCTTTTCCCTGATTCGTTGTGCAAAAATTAAAAACTTTGGACAACATCCAGTGTTGGTGGAGTTACAGAGAAATGAATATTCCCAGTCACTCTTGATAGGAGTGTAAATTGGTGCAATCTCCCAGAAGGCAATTTCACTATCAAAATTTTATATGTGCTTCCTCTTTGGCCCAGCAGTTTCACTTATAGGAATCTATCCTATAGAAACATTAAACAAGCACATACAAATACAAGAACAAGAATGTTTATGAAAGCATTGTTGCATTAGAGTAAAAACAAAAACAACTACAATGCCTAGCAATAAGGGGCCAGATAAGTCATTTGTGATTTATGTGTACAATGGACTACTAGGCCCATGTTGCACTGAATACACCTTCTGACATCAGAAAGATTAAGTTTAAAGGCAATAGCTGCAGTGATGATCCCATCCGTATATATATATTTTAAACTATATATGTTTATGTATACATATTAAGTCTAGCAGGATCTAGTGGTGATCTTGGTGGGGAGGGGAGCAGGGAATTAAGAGGAGATACGTATATTTTCCTTCTAATTTCATATACTTTTGTTGATTTTTAAAAATAGCAAATGGCTGGGTGCGGTGCCTCACACCTGTAATCCTGACACCTTGGGAGGCAGAGGAGGGCAGATCACTTGAGGTCAGGAGTTCGAGACCAGCCTAGCCAATATGATGAAATGTTGTCTACTAAAAATACAAAAATTAGCCGGGCATGGTGGCACGCGCCTGTAATCTCAGCTACTCAGGGAGGCTGAGGCATGAGAATCACTTGAACCCAGAAGGTGGAGGTTGCAGTGAGCTGAGATTGTGCCACTGCACTCCAGCCTGGGCAACAGAATGAGAGTCAGTCTTAAAAACAAAAACAAAACCACATAAAAAATATAAAAATAAAAATAGCAAACAGGTATTACTTCTATAATTAAGAAATGAGGCAAGACTGAAAAGAACAAAGGGAAACTGAGCACGTACAGAAGGCAAGCTTGCTCCAATTCACCTTGCATGTCCCTTGGCCCTGGCTCCCATCTAACCACAGAGAAGAGGGTCAGGGTTGCCTGTGCTGATGGCATTTTTGCAGGGCATTGCAACCCTAGAATATTTATGAGGCCTCCAGCAGCAATGACTCCCATGAAGGTTGCTGTGAGGATTAAATGAGATAATGTATTAAAGGCACTAGGAAAGTGGCTGGCTGGTGGTAAGCCCTCAATACTAACAGCTTTTAGTTATTATTGTTATTATTTAAATGCATCCTGCAGCCCAGTTCTGCAGGGTGCTCCTCTACTTCCAGATCCCACTCACTGGCACAGATTTTAAGCATTCAGGGCAGGTGTACAAATGCTTAGTTTCATGTCAGGGCTATAACTGCACTTAATTGCCAACAAAACCACTTCAAAAGAGCTGTTCACCTAAGGGATGCTTGTGCAGTTGGAAACCATGGCTACGTGGCTCTACTCGGCTTTAGAAGAGCATTACTTCCTTACCCATTAATGAATATATAAATAAATAATAATCACCATGCAAATGGCATACCTAAGCTTTTTGCAAGGTAAAG